CCATCAGCTTTGGTTGTTTAAAAAAAAAAAATGGGGGCCGGCACCCGGTCTTGTAAAGAAAATTTGGCACCAACAGGTTTTGGTTGCAAAAAAATACAGGACAGTTTAGGAACAAGGCAACCAGAGCCCCCCCCCCGTACCCCCTCCCCAGCCTTTTTACAGGCCATTCTTAGAGCCTACGTTTGGAGCAGTTTAAACTCAGAACCTTCATTACGTCCACCTTGCATGTGTATAAATGAATACTAATATTACAATATGAATAGAAGAGAATCTGTGTAGCTTGGGGTTGAACTGTGGAGTCCCTGGGGTTCTCTGATTTCTTGGTTGTTTTCTTGCAAACGTTTCATTACCCATCCAGGTAACATCTTCGGTGCTAGAAGGGAGTGGGGTTTGCTCTCTATTTATATACTGTAGCTAGCCCTGTCAGTGTTGGTGGGGGAGTTGTTTTCTCCCAGTAGCCCAAGAAGAAAAAACAGGAGCCATCTACAACATACGGCGTCTGTAACAGTCACTATGTAGGACAGACCGGCAGAAGATTAGCAGAGCGCATCCATGAACACCAACTAGCAGTCAGAAGACACGATGAAACTCCTTAACCTCACAAAACACGGACAGACTCAACCATAGTTTCAGCTGTGAGCATCCTAAACCAAGCCAAATCCAAAAATGCTGGGGAATTCCTGGAAACTTGGCATTCAGACAAATCAGCTATCAATAGACACACAGAGATAAACCACACTGACACACCATTCACAAGAGACAATAAAAAAACTGAGGAGGAAACAAAAGACCACAACACATCCCCTCCAGCAGCCAACACCCAGATAAGCAGGGATTAACCCCAGACAAACAATCAGGCAGAGAACAACATCCTAATTAAGGAACTGCCAAGCAGAAATCCACCCCCCCCACCAACACTGGCAGGGCAAGCGACTGTATAGAAACAGGGAGCAAACCCCACTCTCTTCGAGCACTGAAGATGTTACCTGGTCAGGTAACGAAAGGTCTGCAAGCAAACGACCAAGCTCAGAGAACCCCAAGGACTCCACATTCCAATATCAGCCAGTCAGCTGAGGGATGAGCCCAAACCCAGCATTAATCTTTGGGTTTCCTTCCTACTCCATGCACTATTTTGAGAAAGTCTGTCTGGAGGGCAGATTTTTCGGGACTTTAGACGTGACTCTGAATGGGGCTGTGCCTCAGCATCAGAAAAATATTCCCACGCAGAGAATTCTGCCTCCTTGCCCTGGAGAAGCAATTTAAGAAAAAAGGTATTAACCCATTCGGAAAAGGAACCAGACACAGCCCTGAACTGCGTTGCGCTGAAAGAGATCACGCTGGCCGCATACGTCAGAGGACTAAAAGCTTCTTGGAAAAGCAGAAAGAAGCCATTAAAATCTCCCGAAGTGTTGATAAAGACCGGGAAGTAAATGGAAGACTTGCAAAAGGTTGTGGGTGGCAGGGAGTCTGTTGCAAGGAATATTTGTTTTTTTGGAAAAAGTCCAAATGGCTGGATAGGAGAGGGTGCTCTGCCTCCTTTGTTATATTTTTAAATTTTTTATTCAGACTGTTTATATTTTCGGATGTGGGTCATAACACCCAGTACAGGCAGGGTTTCTCAACCTTGGCAACGTGAAGACGGGTGGACTTCAACTCCCAGAATTCCCCAGCCAGCCATGCTGGCTGGGG